TTGAGTGTAGAGAATTTTATAACTATTTTTCACTTAAGTTTTAAGACCACGGCTCAAATTAAGAGATAACTCCTATAGATCATTTTGAGAATTGAACAAGGCCTTAAGTACCATGTGTATATCAAATTAACTGAAAAAATACATATCTTTATAAAACTTGTGTGTTCCCTGCTTTGTCCTGGAACATTCTAGCTGGTTTCTGTAACTCATCTTCTGCGCCTCACACTTGAGGAATTGATACTGTGGAGAATTAGGGCCAACACATAAAAGGAACAGGCTGTTTACCTGTTTGTTTTTTAGGTAGTTTACATATTCTTCCCTGAAAGGCTTTTTTTGCCCTTCTTTTAAAAAAATAATTATTAATGGAGGCAGCAGGTGGTGTAGTGGTTAAGGGTGTTAGACTCCCATATGGCAAACCAAGGTTCAAGTCCTACCTTTGGTGGCTTGCTTTCTCACTTTCTCTCTCGCTTGCTCACTCTGAATCTCTCTGGCCAAATTAAATAAATAAGTAAATAAAGTTAAATAAAAATAATTCTTTAAGAAATAATTATTAATAACTGTTAGATCTTCAGGAAAATCAAGACTTTTTAATAATGTTTTTCTATGCAAAAATGCATCATGACTTTCTCAATGACCCAACAATTATACATTGAATGGAAAACAAAGGTAGCTTGAGACTAAAACGCACATTTTGGATATAGGGAGATAATTTAGAAAACTGGTCCCTTTTTGTCCTATCACATACAGTTTTGAAGGTAAATTTTATAAACCAGTGTTACTTTAGAAGTTATCATTATTAACCTAATTGATCTGAACAACTTGCCAGAATCACTAGAAAGAGAGTGAGCAATAAACCTGGTTAATTGTTGAAGTCATGTGTGTGTACTCTATTCTTGGAGCCCAAGTTTGTTACAGTTGTGTTTGTATTATATTTATATTTTGCTTACTTCCTTAATTAGAACCATGCCCCGTCCTGCTGTTTTTATAAAATCATTGGAATTGGTGTTCTCCTAGACACACGTACGGTTTTTCAATTAGTACAAGGTGTCCAGTGATACGGAGTTTCAGAACGATGCTATCAGCAGTGCATAATCAATAGGATCTTTGATTGTTCCACCTGGAAAGAATCTTAGTGTTAGGTACTCAGTTGTGGGGTACTCAGCCATAGAGTAAATTCAGCCTGGATAGGTACGTGTGGGCTGGGGGTAGTTTGCTAAGTCCCAGTATACTATAGAATGAAATACAAAATTATAAGTTTAAGGACAAGTCATTGGATGTCAAGGACATATTGTGTTTACCACCTGCAGCCCAGAGCCAGCCTTGAAGAACTAAGATCACTGGCCCGTGCTTTTAGTTTCACCTCAGAGTAAGATGAAGAGCTGTGATAATCTAGCCTCTTACCCTTCTGTAAGAAGTGGGGCCCTGAGAGGTTAACGATGGTTCCCAAGGTCCACAGGAAGTTCCTTTGCTATGGGAACTGCATCCTAGGTCCCCTTACTCCTAGTCTGGTGCTACTTCTTGGCAGGTGTATCTCACAGTGTCAGTACCTTGTTTTACATATACCTACACATATGTGCTGCATGTGAGGGTTTTCAGTGACACTTGTTGGATTAGAAAGTACTTCAGCATTGGCTCATTGCTTATTGAAAAAATGATCTGTGAAAGACCAACCTTGTCATTTTAATAAAGCTGGGCACCCAGAAGCTAGCTTTGTCTTGTGAGAGGCTGGTCTACCCTTCTGTGCACAGTAGTCCAGCTGAAGTACCAGGGGCCTGCAGGTCAAGGAGGGGAGGGTCCAGTGTGTAACTTTAGCTCAGGGCAGCAGCATCCACAACAGAAGTGGTCCCCTTTGGGAAGAGATTATTGGCACTACGGGCAGTGATTTTATTGTTCTGTACTCATTCTTCTCTAATATCCACTTTTGTGTCTCCTGACAACACCTACTATAGATTGAAATATAAATGGTGCTCATTTAATACTTGCTGATCGGACTTATTTCTCAAGTATAGGAATTGTGTGTGTGTGTGTGTGTGTGTGTGTGTGTGTGTGTGTGTGTGTTTATGTACACATATACATACACGCTGAGTTTTTACATGGGCACTGTTTGCTGGGAAAATCATGGAAAAATAGAGCTAAGCTAGTTGAGTTCTCATTTGACACAGAACCCACCTGCTGTAATATTTTTATTTAAATGCTTGCTAGCATTGTCTCATTGATGTAACCCATGTGCCCAGGTCATTATTCAGAAGATGGAATGTATTACAGAACAGGTTTTCTGAGAAAAGTTGACATTTATGCTGGACTCTACAGAACATTGAGTTCCATTAATAATACCGAGAAAGAGTTTTTTCCATATAACATATCCCTGGAATTCGCTTGATACAGGAACGTCATAAATAGTGTGGAGAAAATGTGCTCTGGTTGTATAAATAATAATATTGAGTTTTATAAATAATCTCGAGTTTTTAGAAGTTTATCGTTTTTTTAATTTATGAGGCTCAGTGGAGAGAATCTTTGCTCTCAAATGACCTAACTGAAGGTGGGCTATGCACGTGGGTTAAAGCTGACAAGCAGCAGCCGCCATGGCACCAGTTGTGACTGATGCTGGTGGTGTGTCTGCAGCTCTGAGTGCAGCTGGAGAACCTTGGTGAAGAAGGAACACCCTTGTGAGAGGCCTTGACCTTTGACTCAAAAATTTAGTTTTTATAAAGGGATCCCTATAAGTGTTGCACATGACTTTCTACTCTTTTTTTTTTTAACTTATTTAATTTTATTTGTTATTATTTTTTAAATTCAACCAGAGAGAGAGAGAGAGAGAAGGGAAAAGTGAAAAAGCAAGCTGCCAGGTCTATGACTTATACTGTGGTTGGCCATGTGGGAGACCAGTGGCTCAATCTCCATGCTGCCTACCACCCCTGACTTTCTACTCCTACGGGGAACTTTGTTTACAGTTGTTCTGCGGATTCAAAGTAGTAAATACGACTTTGGGGAAAGACCAAGAGAGATGGAACCTAGTCAGTATTAAGCCTGAGTCCCACCTTCTTAGCATGGAACATACAGTGCCCTCTGTAATACATCTGGTCTGATTATATGGCTCTTTAAAATAATCACCCTTTTACAAGCACACCAACATCGAGATTTAGAGTTTCCCCAGACCATACCTGCAGCCCACCTTTGCTGTCTGTGATTCTTTGATGTGTGCCTCCTGCACTGGACTGAGCATTCCTGAGGGTAGGACTGTGCCTATGTGTGCTCACCGCTGTGAGCCTGCCCCAGGCTTTTCTGCATCAGCTGAGTAGTGTTCAGGGTCCTGCCCACATCACCTTGGAAGTAGACCCATTTTCTCAGGGAAAACACTGATGTAGATTGCAAGCTCTTGGTTCACCTCCATTATCTCCTTGTTGAAAATGAACACTCCAGTATATTGAACTCCTGAGTAGTACCTACCCTGATACATCAGACAGAAATCGTTAGGAGGTCGGATGGTGGCGCAGTGGTAAATCACCATTTTCTACAAGGCTGACCTGCATGGGAAGGTTCTGCGTTCCTGTGCAGAGTCTTCCCTGAGCACACTGGACATGTGTGTACCTGTAATCTGGGGCTGAACCTGGGAGTGGATCATAGCATCTTTACCCTGTTGGTGCTATCTGCCTGCCTGCCTGTCTCTATTTCGTATGGAAGAAATAAATAGCAAAGTTCAAAAATTAATGATTTGTTAGTAATACCATAGGTTGAAATTCCCCCCAACCAATTTTTCTAATAGAATACTTCAACACCCCCCCCCAAAAAAAAGGGGGGGGGCAGCAGATGATGTAATGGTTATGTCACTGGACTCCCATGTAGTCCACCACAGTTTAAGTCCCGGACCCGGCAGCTTAAAACTCATGCCAGGTACATGTTGCACGTGTGCCTAAAATCCCGAGAGGGAAATGGAGAAGGGGTTGCGGCGTGGCCATCCCCTCTGGGGAGTGATTTCTCACTTTCTGTCTCTCTGTCTCCTTGGCAAGCACAAGCACCTGATAGCAAAAAAATCTCTTAAAAAATAAAAAAAGAATAGAACAGTGAATAACACCATGTAGATTCAGCAGTTTTGACACTTAGCCATGTTTGCTTTCTTGTGCTCTCTCCCTCTGTCCTTTCCTTCTTCTTTTCACATAAATACATATTTAAAAAATTTTCAGCTAAACTTAAAAATTCAGAGTGAATTTTTTCACTCTTAATTTGGATAACAATCTGAGGATCCAAATGCTAATTGCTTTTGTATGTTTTCTTCTAAAGTAAATTACAGATACTATATTTTGTCTCTTTCATCTCTTAATCCAGATAGTTCCTCTATCTATCTCTTTTTCATATCTCTCTCTCTCTCTTTTTAAATTTCCTTGATTACCAGATCAGGTCTTGATTTGATTCCTGATTATACCATGTAAGCTATGAGATGTAATTATTTGTGGGAATTAAAGTCTTTATTATATGGGATTTGCCTTTGAATACTTGATAATATGGATGATTTTTGCTGCGGCATCACGTTTTGTGTCCTCATGCCATTAAAAATACCTCAGTTAATAAACAGTGCCACCCACTTGCCAATATTTGAAGATACCGAAGATGTCTAAACTTCCTTGTCACTTTTTATTGTGCCACATCCATGGGGGTGCGATAATGTTGTTATGAGAACCCTGACATAGTAAAGGCTTGCTGCTGATATACTGTGAATAGGATTTGGTAGCTAATCAGGAATCTGAATAGTGCAATTTGAGGTAGAGCGATGTGCCTATTAAACGTTAGTGCTAGGAGGTAACTCGGTCTGTGGAAGGAGGGTTTGCAGCAGGGGAATACTGCAGCTTTTGCTGAAATGATTTCCAATTTCCAAATACCTGAATTAAACACATATGAGATTGTAATTTTCTTCATGTATGTCTGTTATGTCATTACACAACAGTCAATTTTAATCAAAACATAGACATTTCAGTCACGACTTCTTTTCAATTTTCCTCTTCCAGAAGGAACTGGCAAACAACCCTGACTGTCCTCAGATGTGTGCCTATAAGCTGGTGACCATCAAATTCAAGTGGTGGGGACTACAAAGCAAAGTAGAAAACTTCATTCAGAAGGTAAAAGCTGCTCCATTTTTGGTGACTTTTCTTTTATGAAATAAAAACTCATGTCCTGCACCATTCATGTCTGCCCTTTTAACCCTACAAATAGCATAGACAGATGCTAGCAGAGGGTTTTTATAAGGGACTTTGGAGAACATCACAATTTTTTGTTCACAGTGTTTTTCTGATGGTTCGTCCAGCACTTCTGCAGAAAGCACTTCCCACATACTCCATGTTCCCCAGGGGACACGGTGTCATGGCCCTGGCTGGAGGCCCAGGCCCAGCCTGCTGAGAGACTTCTCTGCCTTAGCTGGGCTGACCACCTCCCCCTCAGCCCCACACCCATCTCCCTGGTGACACACCTTGCTCTTCCTCATGGGATATCTCCTTTAGAGGTCCTCACTGGAAATAGGTACACTCGGAACTGTGGTGACACCATCTGAATATTCAAATTCTAATGACTTCTTTTTTGTCTTCTTTATTGAAGTGAAAGTAACATCTAGGAAGAGGGGAGAATTGCAGTTGTAGAAATATGCATGGGTTATAAATACAGTGTGTGGAAAGTTGCCTTTGTATGTATTATTCCTGTAGCTTGAATATTTGTTCCATTATCCTAATAAAGAAGCACCCATTGTATCTCAGATCCCCACAAGGGTTGTCTGTGTTTCACCACAGCTTTCCTACGTTTAAACAGTAGCTACTGTAACATTGCAAAGTAAAGGATCTCAAAGTGCTAGAAACTCATTATTCTTGGGCCTGCTTATAGTTGGCCTGTAGTAGACATGCTGTAAATATTAGATCCTTTCTTCCTCCTGGATGACAATAATAGATTAACAGCACATTTCTGATAAATAGAAGTCACACATGTAATTGATGACATCCTTTTGCATGAAAAACATTTATGAAGTTGAAGATTATCTAAAACTACAGAATGTTCCATGGGCTTTTCTCTCTTGGGACAGTTGAGTAAAACTTAAATAATTCAACAATTAAAGCCACTAATTCTATACATTGTTACACACACTTATATAGTGGCAGTAACATGCAGTGTAGAAAAAGTAATGGGAAGTGTGTAATAATTCTTAGTTTAATAAAACATCTTTATTCCAAAGAGCCTAGTACTCTTCTTTTAATTATGTTATTATATTTCACCTCATGGTATTTCATTGCATTATAGAGAAGAGTGCCAGTGTAGAGTTTTATAACAGGAGAAATCAGGTTGACGTTTGCTTGTTGACTTTTAGAAAGAGGAGGAAATTAATCAGGTCCAGCCGGGAGTGTGTTGGGTGAGATTGTGCATACCATAGTCCTTTAGTTTCTACTATAGGTGAAATTATTTTACATTTCCCAGAGAAATTGTTCATTTTATTTTTTATACGAAATGATAATAGGGTGGAGTCAAAATTTCTACTAATGATCATAAGTAGCCTTTTCATACCCCATATATGTACATTTCATGGGTTAATCAGGACAGGTAGAGTTAATGTGTCATTAATCTTAGGTTTTTGCCATCTCATACTATGTTTCTTCTTTGTTTTAAAAGCAAGAAAAAAGGATATTTACAAACTTTCATCGCCAACTTTTTTGTTGGATTGACAAATGGATCGATCTGACAATGGAAGACATTAGGAGGATGGAAGACGAAACTCAGAAAGAGCTAGAAACAGTAAGACCTGCCGTTTCACGGGAATTCTCTGATTTCCCCCTTTCTAGAACTCTTTGCATGTTTAGTAACTGTAGACCTAGGATCCTTACTGCTTATCCTCAGAATGGACTTTCTTAGATACTAACACCTTTTCACATGCCCTGATTGCTCTTTTGTTGAACCCTTTCATGGAGGCATGCAGGAGCTTTTTTGATCTAGAATTCCTGCCCTTTAGATGCCCATGGTTTTGTGTTTGTATGCATTAGTTTTCCTTGATGGCAGCAGGTTCACAGTTCTCTTAGATACTCATTTGTCATACCCAGTGCCTTTGGCTCAGTTTGTATCACAACAAGTTATAAATGTTAGCACAGTGAGTCCTAGTTCCTGCTTCTATAGACAAGGGAAAGCTAATGGCATCATCAGTGATTCCAGAAATGTCTCCTCGCTGTCCCCTGCTAGCAAGTGAATCCTTATTTCTCCATAAGTTTCAGTCACATTCAGGTGACCCTTGGGTAGGAGGTGAGCATGTCATGCCTTAGCCTTAAAGCTCACCCCAACCCCTCCCAGCTCCTAGAGATCAGGACCCGCAGCCAGTGGGTGTCTTCTCTCTCAGGAACGGTGGATGTCTCCTTCCTCTCAGAGACAGTCTCTTCCCTGGTCTCTCTCCTGCATGCGTCTGGTTTTGCTTTTGCCCTGGGCCACGCTTATCTTCAGTTGGCGGTAAGGCCCCATATGGGAAGTGAACTCAAGGAATGTCCAGAACCCGTTCGTGGTTTCCTTGTAGTCATCTCGAGTCGCGCCAGCAGGCCCAGTTCTGGAAGCTATACAGGTGCAGGTGTTTGATGAAGGCCCGTGTGTGAGGCAGGAACTCGCTTAATCATGGGAGGAGGGCAGCAGATCAGGTTTGTTGGCACAGAGGGAACCCTATTACTCTGGCACATGGCATCCTAAAGAATCTGTGTTTAAAATTGCTTACTTTTGGTGATTACAACATGTCTGCTTCTAATTAGCTTTATGCAAACCTTCTGAGAGGATGAGGACATCATTTCTTTATAAGGCAATAAAGTGTTTCAGCCTTATCTTATACATAAACTATAGTCCAACTCTAACTTATGAATGGGTTTTGTTCCAAAAATGTAGTTGATTGTTTGAAATTTGGAACATATTTTCCCATAGGGACATTATAAATTGGGATTTGGTTTCTAGACTAGCCAATAGAAGTCTTTGGCTTCAGTTTCTCATGCTAATAGTAGGACTCTTGAGTTCTGGATCTTGGGAATAGGGGTATGAAATGGCACAGATGGAAGACTCTCCCCCTCACCCCTTATTTTTTGCTGGCTACAGGCAAAACAGTCAAACAGGCAAGAATAGGTCATGAGTACTTCCTGCCTTTCTTTCCATGCCTTGCTCCCACTTTTTCCCCTTTCTTTTCCTTTCTTCTGAGTCAGGTGCTCTTCTTTGACTCTCAGGAAGCGCCCAACATCACCTCCACCCAGTATTTTAAGCTCTTTTCCCCTGCTTTGTCCTATTTTGCTCTCCAAATGTTCCATCTCCAGAGATACCTGTCCACTTTGCCTTCTGTCTGTGGAGTGACCAGTGTCTACCAAACTTTAGAAAGTAGGAGCATGATTGCTCTTGATCTTTCCAGGCTTGTGGTGCACACATTACTGACATTTCCAGCAAGGGTTTACCAACACCAAGAGAAAAGAGATTCCTCAAACTCTTAGGAGAGAGTCCCATCTCTTGGTTCTAATTTTTATGCTGAAGAATTATAGTCCACTCTGGTTTGGGCTCTGGGCCCTGCCTATATCCAGATCCCTCAGACAGAACTTCCCAGAGAAGCACTCTTGCTTCCCTCTCAAGTCTCTGTCTCATGATACCCAACACAGAATGGCCCCAGTGTCAACACAGAGAACCCCTGAGGAGGTGGTGGCTCACTCCCATCCGTGGCCATGGCCTGCAAGCTCAGTGCTTCTTGTGCAAGTCTGTGCACTCAAGAAGTAAGCTTGAGATAGATGAGGGATTACTCAGAAGCCCCATTTTTTAGGCAGTATCATCATTCTTGTGCCCACATGGCTCAAACTAATTCCCTCATCAAGTTAGTAGAAATCTGTCATTGGTTCAGGGTGGGTACATAGCAGTTTCTTTGTTAAATATTTCAAAACATTTTAAGACAAATTTCAGCATTAAGTACAGATCATCTTAACTTTAAATCCCATTTCAGTTATTTTGCTCTAGGTCATTGGGGAGTGCTTTCTTCCACGTTACATTGCTGCTGCTTTGAGTCCTCACTCTTGATTTTCAGAAGCCAGGTGGCATCATGCCTGCAGGCCAAGAAAGCCTATCCAAAAAACACCCACCTCCTGAAGAGACTTAACGTGTTAAAGTCCTCTTTATCACTCAGGAGTTTTCCCTTTTCTTGAGGTTCTGTTTCCCTGATACCTGATGATACAGTTTGATACATTGTAATGCCCTTAATTTGCAAATATTTCAAGGATTTCTTTCAAATGGGTTTTAGCCTGGGATAAAAGACTAGCATCTTGAGAGGTTAGGCCCAAGAGGAATGCCCCTGCCTATAACTGCTGGGCTTGGGCTCAGCCCCTGAAAGAATGCTTTGGGTAAATGTTACACCTGTTTGTTCTTGACTGGTACTTCTGGAGATCAGGAGCAAGGAGAGGGTGTTGAATTTTTAGAAATGTATTTATTGCATTTATTTATTTTCTGTCATTTGTTTCTTGAGTTTCCCGTTGAGTTTTACTTGTCTAGAGGCTATTACTACCGATGCCTGTGCTCTCTGACCCATCCTGTGTCCTTTGTGGTCTACCGTTATACACTGGACCTGTGCTTGCTCGTTTCCTCACATTATATTGTCATACAGCTCATTGACTCGTTGACTGTCTTAATTTCACATCATCAGTCTGTAGGCTTTTGTTTCCTAGGTTCAATAATATACATACTTTTTATCATGCTGTGTAAGAAAGGCCTTTTGCAAGATTATCTTTAAACCAAGATTATTAGAGAGGCCTGAGAAATTCATCCTTAATGTTGATCCAGTCATAAACAGGCCACTCGCACTTCATAATTTCTCCTAAAACTTTTTTCTCCCTCTTTTTACTAACCCCTACGAAGAGTCTGATTACAGCAGCTCACAATTTTATTTTACGTTTAGATGCGTAAGAAGGGTTCCGTCCGAGGCACGTCGGCTGCTGATGTCTAGATGAGTCCCCTGTAGGGTCAGAGAAAATATCAAACTGTGTAAGTGAAGACCTGGGTAAAAAGAATGTTAAAAAACTTATACCATTTTGGTGAGGCTCTACTAAGTGTCTAACTGTGTGGTTTTATTTTTAGAATTAAATGAAAGTATGTATAAGTATATGAAATTGAGTTACTGTTCTGTAAGAATTTTATCTGTGGAACAGGTTCAAGTCAGTAATTGGGGCTAGTTCTCCATGTTACAGTTCTGCAGCGAGCATGCCAAGTGTACTTACTCATCACCTGGCAGTGCAGTGGCCTAGGAGCCAGCTGAGTTTTGAATGGCCAGTTAATTGACCTGTTTCTTAGCAGAACCATTTGTGATTGGTAAGGAAATATTTAAAAGCATTTGGAATCACAGATCCTTCATCCCAAACTAGAACAGTCAGTGTTAGTAATTATTTTATTGAGATGTTTTCTATGTGCCAGAAAGTCTTCCTTGAGGTTTAATCTTTAGTTATTTTTGCATTTGGCTTTACTCTATGTAAATGCACTTCGATTTTAATTTACAGTGTAAAACATTCTTATGGTTTAATTTCTCACATGCAAATTATAAATTATATATTCATCAGATTTTTCTAGAGGGGAGTAAATAGGCACCAAAATATACCCTTATATTGAAACCAGTGCAAATAAACAATAGTCGACTGCACACTGCCATTGTTTTTATAGAACTAAAGTGTAGATTGTAGGAAAGAGCAAGACAGAACCACCTCCTCCTCCACTGGTTGTTTGCTGCCCCTTCACATGAGCTCCCTGCTTGTCAGTGGCTGAACCCGAGGATAAGTGATGTGTTCAGTCATGAATAGTTATAATTACATCTAGTAAGAACAAATCAATCTTCCGAGATTTCTCCAAAGCTTTCCTTAAGTTCACTGTTCATTTTAAGAATTTTGTTTTGTTAACTTTTGTTCAGTTCTCTTAAGTTTCTGTAATTTATTTCTGCTTCTAATTTATTTTTTTCTCTGATAAAACAAATGTCATGCCATTAAGTAAAATGAAAACCGTACTAAAAAAAGTTTAAATTATTTTAAGATGCAATATTAGGGTACACCTTCTGCCAAAAGTTTTGCTACATTGAGGGTTTTTTTTGTTTTGGAGAGTATGTTTGACAAGCCTACTGCCTAACATTTTTTGTGTGTCTCTGAATTTTAACACGTTTTGCACTGTCTTTCACTTTTCTTACAGTTACGTAATCAAGGTCAAGTGAGGGGAACAAGTGCAGCCAGTGATGAGTGAAGAAGAATCTGACCAGTATCTTGCAGTGTTGACGTTTCCCAGATGCGTGCTTGTGATGATGTACACACATGCACAGGTTCCCAACCACGTGTGTATATATGTATGTGTGCGTGTGTCTGTAGCTGTATATAAAACGCATGTAGAGCTACAGATTGAGATACACACACTGTGTATATATGTACATACAGACATACGGAAGGGATTAGTACAATTTCTCCAAAGTACTGTACCTATCTTCAGCAAGAATGCAAAAGAAAATATTTTCAATATATATACCTGGAACAGATTTTAATAATTATCAGAGTAATACCATTAATGGATAAATTGACTGCAATGTAATACTAGCTGGGATGTTTCATATATGTCAAGTTGTGGACCAATATATACATAGTCTTCTATTATTTTTCTGTTCTTTTAGATGTCTCTTTTAAATTTTTATTTTAGTCCCATATGCAGCAGACTCCCACAGAAAAATTTCTTCAGAATGTTTTGGTGTTCCAACAAATCTGAATGTATTTATAACTATTTATTTCTGGATGGTCATTCTCTTAAAGCCAAATTTAATAATATATCTTAAGTAAGAGTAAAATTACAGGCCAGTTTTTACTTGTTTTTCCTGAGAGGGAAATCCTTTTAGAAAAAATTTCTGGTTTTTATTGGATTTTTGTATTTTAAATTTCAAGTATTTTTCTACATCAAACCTAGCAAAAATGGAGATGATGGTTTGTGATTTCTAATAAACACTAGGCAATTTTCAAGTTCCTGTTAGGCAAACAAAGACATTGACGAAATTAATCTTGATAGTACATTGTAGGCTATGTAGAAAAATTGGAAGGCTAGCACTTCTGTGGAGTCTCGTTTTCTGACATGTTTTCTGGAATTACAGCTTGGAAACTATGCAAATGGTCTAGATTCCTCACAGCTTACACGTTAGAATGTAGATAGTGATGACATTTTGCTCTTTTCATGTTGAAATACTCTTCCTGGGGGGAGAGGCTGACTTGAGATAGGAATGCGAAAGGCCCGCCTTTGTGTAGTTTGTGGGCCTTGCCCAGGGGTCAGTGGCCCTCCGACCTCTGGATGTGCTCTCAAATAGGACATCGTCGGAACATATCCTGCAGAGGTATCATGGAAATGCTGGTGAGAAGCCGCTGCCACTCTCTCTCTTTTTTTTTTTAAAGGGAGGAACAATAGCTAGGTAGTATTTTTTGTACGCTTCCTCTGTCCAATCCTGTTTTTCTCCTGTCAGTACTGGGAGCTTGAGTAGAATGATATTGTTGAAACCTTCAAGTCACAAACTGTCTTCTTTTTTTTCTTTTGGAGAGGTTTTTGCTATAGGGCACGTGCACTCACCAGAAAAACAGAGACAGACAGACAGAAAGCAAGAAATCACCCCCCGGGGGTGCAATCCCTTCTCCTCCATTCTCCTCTTGGGATCTTGGGATCTTGGGCACACATGTGCACCTGGCATGAGTATAAGCCACCGAGTTCGGGACTTGAACCTCGGTCGACTACATGGGAGTCCAGCAATATAGCCATTACACTAACTGCTGGTCCCGCAAACTGTCTTCTTTAACCTCCCATCCCTCCTAAAACACGCCAGCCCCTGCAGTCAGATCACATTAGTAATCTGATTTGCCGACAGTCCTGCCCTCCCTGTTCCACGTTTTCCCACATGTCCTTTGTCCCCACCAGAGCAATTGCAGCGAATAGGACAGGGATGTTGAGAATTACTACTACATTGTGATACCATGCTATCCTCAGCAACAAATCCCACATCTCATGTGTCCTCTGTATACTCAGGATAAAGACTGATGTTTACTCTCTGGACACTGTTGTACGGCAGGTCTGGTCAGAGCATAGTCGTTGTCAGCAAAGTGTTTGGAGTGAGGAAGATGATTGCTAATTTGTGAAACGAAGAGTCTAGCCCTCTCCTTTTAATGAACATAACTCTCCCTGGCATCTGTAGTATCGTTGGGAGCTCGGGCGCACATGGAAATGAGAACCCGGCGCATGGATTTTAATGTTTTTCTAACAACTGTGGAGATTTGAGGGAATGTGTGGTGAATGTAAAATACCTAGTTTACTTGGCAGTCTCTTGTGTAAATTACAGTAAAGCAAAGTAAATGAAATTTAAACAAAAAATAAATTTGATCACAAAATGCCACTTGTGTGCTTGAGTGGTTGTTTCCCTGATGCTACGTTTGGTTCAAAACACCGTGGACCACTCTTTTGCTAGTCATTCAAGAATTCTCTAATTTGTAGCACTGCTGCTCTGGGAAAAAAAAAAAAAAAGTTTTTGTTTTTTATTGCAAACTCTTTTAAAATGTGCTTATGCCACACTAAGTAGTCGCGTTTGGTTTCTAAAATAATTTTCTATTTTCAGAAGCTAAGTAGTAAACTAAAGAAGGATTATGTATTAGTTTCAGAGATTTCTCTTTTTTATTTTTAGAATCATTTAATTTTATTTATCATTGTTATTCTGATATTTGATACAAGCACGTGTGCTCACTTGAGAGAGAAAGATGGAAAGAGAGAAAGTGACGAAGCAAGCTTCCTGGTCTAGAACTTGAACTGGGTTGGCCATAGGAGAGTCCAGCACCTCAACTACCACACCTCCTGCTGGCCCCATGTTTTAGAGGTTTTTAAATATTGTTTTTAAAAGGAAAAAATATGGAAGGCCCATAGTGATTTTAAAGCCCTCCCTCAGTAAGGACTTTGCCATAAGAATCTGATCATGAAGGTTTTTTGTTTTTATTTTATTTTTTGTTTTGTTTGTTTTGCCAGAGGGCACATACGTTCACCAGAGAGAAAGTACTCCCTAGCGAGGCCTGGGCACTTCACAATCCTTTGTCTTTTATTCCTCCTCCTGTTAGGATTTTGGGCATGCTTGGTGTGTTTTGGGTCACTGAGCCTGGAATTTGAACCATCATTGGACCTACAGAATCTGGCTCCCTTAACCAGTGAGCTACAGGGCTGGGCCAGGACTCTGTCTTTTCTAGTCTATTTTGGACAAGAAATGACAACTTGGCAGTTACAGCTTACACTTTAGAGTTGTTTGACATTAGGAGGAGTGACTAGCTATGTGGGTGGATATACTCTATAACATCACATTTCCAGCGTGGTGGTGGTTGTTTCCTGAGGTTTGTTCCTTACTGTCCTGTTTTCCCGTTCTTGCATTCCACAATCTGAGTATTGATATGCTGCCACTCAGTCTCACTGCAAGCACTAAGAAAAGCAGGGCACAGTCCAGTGTGGGGGACAGACGTTCTAACAGATGTACTAACAGTCAATGGAATCGTCATTGAAGAGCACAGAGTTGGTTGAGAGGAATCTTAGATACCATCCTCTTTGTATAAACGAGAAAACAAAAGTCTAGGCCAAAGGCAGCTTGGCAGCTGGGACCCAAGGAGCCCAAGATGCCAACTTCTGGGCCAGCGTGGAGTCAGGGACACTCTGGGGCCCTCCTGTATGTGGGGCCCATGCTGCCCAGCTGTAGGGTTGGTTGGGTCAGTTGAGCATTGTGTCCTGTAGCACATGGTAGACCCTCTTCAGTGGGATTTCTCCCTTCCTGTCCCACTTGTATACCAAACTGCTTCCTAGTCGACCTCAAATCAGTCAGCTCTCCTGTCCTCCCTAACACCTGGCTTTTTAAATATATATATAAAATTATAATTATTATTATTATTATCTTATCGAACTTTATTTCAATTTCAATTTGACCAGAGAGAGGTCAGTGAAGGGGCAAGTCTCCAGGTCTAGGACTTGAACCATGGTTGGCCATGTGGGAGTCCAGAGTCCTCAACCACACCACCTGCCGGCCCCTCTAACACCTGGCTTTAAGGTTTGTTTTGTGTCCCCTCTTCAACCAGCTAAATTGTACAGTTTGGCGAGCCAACTCCTCCACAAATCTTGTGTCCCAGGAAGTAAGAGGCATTTGTTAACATTTGTTTTGTCCGTCTCTTCTAAGCAACTTAGTTGGCAAGAGCAGTGTAGAATTCCCTGTTCTTGTTTGGAGGGAGGGAGAATGTTCTTAGACCCTCAGATCCGATGCTGTGAGAGCCACAGCGTGTGAGATAAAGAGTTCAGTGGCTCCCAAACAGGTTTTCTCCATAGGTTTTTGCCATAGGGTGGGCACCACCACGCCCCCAAACAGGTTTTTTTCAAATTCCTCTCACTGGCAGTTTTGGTATTTGGGACTTTGCATGAGGGGAAGTGAGAAATCACTCCCATCGGGGATGGTCATGGCACAATCTCTTCATTCCTCATTTCAAGATTTTGGGCACTCCCACATGTGTATCTGGCTTCTTTTTCATGCTGCTGGGTATGGGACCTGAACTGCATAGTCCGGTACATGGGATCCAGCTGCCTTAACCACCATGCCACCAGCTGGCCCTTGATTACTTTTAAAAGCATTCAGAGCTAATGTTTGCTTCCCCAATGCCTTTGGGATGGCTTATCCTTCTGGAGGAATGCAGTTTTATATGAGGAAACTGCTTCATTACTTCTTCATGGTTTTACCTCCTTGTGTTCCATTGAACTAAATCATTAAATACTCCCTGGATGAAAAAGAGTGTCTCTGCCATTCCAGCCAGTATCCAGCATTGAGATTCCCGTCTCAAATGTTCTATAATGCAGGAGAGACTGGATTGAAAAACTACAGTGCATGTAGGCCAGGGGTTCTCAGGGTCAGGTGGGGAGGCTTTAAAAACATCAGAGTCCTTGGGATAAACAGATGGCGTATAGTTGTATCACCGAACTACATAGTCAACCGTGGTTCGAGTCCTGGACCCAGCAGCTTAAAACTCAGGCCAGTACACATGCATGTGTGCCAAAAATCCTGAGAGAGAAGAAGGGATTGAACAGTCCCCCCCCCCGGGGGGGGGGCTGTTTTCTCATGTTCTGTCTTTCTGTGTCTCCAGTGAGCACACTCCCTATAGCCCAAATCTCTTTAAAAACATCAGTTATCCATCAGTTGTCTTTCTATGACTTGGTACTATATGCCCTTTCTTTGAAAGACGGGAAGAGCTAAGATAATAAACATTCTTTGTGGATGCACATTGAGATGACCACCTTCTCTCCAGATAGTTGGGTTCCTACGCACCCTTCAGAGCTCTTGGCCCAAGCGATACTTCCTCCAGGAAGCCTTTCTTACTTGAAGTGACTCCCTCTGCAGCAGTCTGCACCCTTCATTTGGCTTTAACAGTCTCTACATCTTGGTTAATAGATGTCTTGGAGCCAGTAGGTGGCGTGGTGGTTAAGGCGTTGGACTCCCACATGGCCAACAGTGGTCTGAGTCCCGCTTTCTCTCCCCCATATCCTCTGGTGAGTGTGCATATGTTATAGCAAATTTAATAAAATATAATTGTTTTTGTGGTCCCATGGGAACCTTATGGCCGGGTACTACATCCATACCCCAGAGTCACTTCTGTGGAGGGAACAGACTCTGAAACTGCTCTCTGTTTATGACAGCTTTCTACCTACTCTGTGCCAAAGCCCCTTTGAATCCTGGGGAGAGTGCGGCATAACCAAAACATCTGTAACCTAATTTCTGCCCTCAAGAATTAGAGCCCATCGCTAGCTACAATAGGAGGTGGTAATCTGGTAGCTGACGGTACAAAATACGCAGAGAACGGAGGAGGGAGCTCCAAGTCCATGTTTTCTACCTCTTCTCGACACCCAGAGCAGGACGTTTGGGAGACCACTCAGTCTGAAGAAGTCTGAAACCTAACTCAGTCCTTCCTCTTCTGAAGTGTACTGCCTGGGCCTCCTGTCAGTGAACTGCTTCCTGAGTTGTGCTGCCCTAGCCCCAAATCCTAGGTGGACCTCAAGTCTCCAGAAGTATCCCCAGATGCCTGTGAAATTCCTCTGCTCTTGGATGTCCTGACCCAAGCCATGCTCTGATGAGCTATCATCCTGTCTAGGGTAGTAGACATCCAGAAACCTGATGGGAAAGATCGAAACCTGAGGTGTTTAGGCCTGTGGCCATGTGGCCTCGGACGGCTATTCAGTTCTGCCTTTGTGGTGCTCAGCCGCAGACAATACACAGAAGAGC